TCTTTCTTTTCTTTGTATTTTTATTCGTTTTATTTCAACCATTCTTTCTTTCTTTCTTTCTTTCTTTACATTTTTATTCGTTTTTATTTCAACCATTCTTTATTTCTTTTCTTTCTTTCTTTCTTTCTTTCTTTTTGTATTTTTTATTCGTTTTTATTTCAACCATTCTTTTCTTTTCTTTTTTTCTTTCTTTTCTTTTATTTTTATTCGTTTTTATTTCAACCATTCTTTTTCTTTCTTTCTTTCTTTCTTTTTTCTTTCTTTCTTTTGTATTTTTATTCGTTTTTATTTCAACCATTCTTTCTTTCTTTTCTTTTCTTTTCTTTCTTTACATTTTTATTCGTTTTTTATTTCAACCATTCTTTCTTTCTTTTCATTCTTTTCTTTCTTTTCTTTCTTTCTTTGTATTTTTATTCGTTTTTATTTCAACCATTCTTTCTTTCTTTATTTCTTTCTTTCTTTCTTTCTTTGTATTTTTATGTGTTTTTATTTCAACCATTCTTTGTTATTTTTTTCTTTTTTCTTTTTATTTTTCTTTTCTTTTACATTTTTATTCGTTTTTATTTCAACCATTCTTTCTTTTCTTTCTTTTTTCTTTTTCTTTCTTTCTTTTGTATTTTTTATTCGTTTTTATTTCAACCATTCTTTCTTTCTTTCTTTTCTTTCTTTTCTTTCTTTCTTTCTTTTCTTTCTTTGTATTTTTTATGTGTTTTTATTTCAACCATTCTTTGTCTTTCTTTTTTTTCTTTCTTTTCTTTTTTACATTTTTATTCGTTTTTTATTTCAACCATTCTTTCTTTCTTTCTTTCTTTCTTTCTTTCTTTCTTTCTTTCTTTCAACCATCTAAAAACATACCCATATTTTAAATAAACCGAAAAGGGTTGATAAGCCGTAGAAAATGCGTCAATCAACCAAAGGTCCGGTGTTACCGTTAAATGTGGTGAGTGATGTGAACAAAGGAATAGGTGATAGAAAGTGAAAATAGCTTAAAAAGAAATGATAACGATTGACCCTTCAGTTGAAGATTGCAGTGCTCAAGGAAGCATTTACGCGGGAGGTGTAAATGATAATGGCTCGGAATTGTTAATCGGGGAGCCGAGTTCCAATTCGAGTTGGAATCGTTATATTCCCTTAGGCGAAAAATACACATGGTAAATGTATGATTTCATATCTTCTCTCTCCAGCTATAGGTTAATTATTAAGACTGGTATCACTAAAATTTTATTTTCTCCATAAAATTCTTACCATCTAAAACAAAAAAAAATGTATGCATTTAAATAACTAGCAAAGTGTTGATAAGTTGTAGACAAGGAATCAAATATTAATAACAAGTCTTTTTTCCTACAAATGCGATTATCGCCTACTGTCTGATGTTTCTACGAAGAAATTTTTAAGCCTATGCTGTCCGTCATTGTCTGCCTTTTGCTATCCATTCACACAAACTTGTTAAGTAGTTTACCCTCTGTTTCACCCTGCTTTTCATGTGTTCAGTAAATTCTGCGAGTTTTAAATATTCTAACCCCTATTTCCACATTATGAATTTTTTTATCATTTCACCCAATGCAAGGCAAGGTACAAAAAGACAATAGCGTGAAAATGGTTATTGCCAGTGAAAGAAACACAGAGGGGAATAAAAGGACTGGATTCAAGACAGACCATGACAATTGTCATTGCCTTTAAGGTTTTGAAGATCGAATTTGACAGGAGTTGAAAGAGAATTTCACAAGCGAGGAATGTGGGAGAAGAAACTATTAGCATAGAACTTACGGCTGCAACAATAAATTTCAGGAATATAATTATGAGTGCTTCGCTAAAATTTTTCTGAAGAACCAACTTAAATGTTGAGTGAAATATCACGGAATTGGGTTTAAGGAAAAAATATGTAATGTTCATGAAAATTCATTAAATATTCATTAAACAAATTCATTAAAAATTCATTAAATAATGCGTATGCAAAACAAATAATTTAATAGATTTTTTAATAACTGTTGCCTGATGATTCCTTCTCTTCTAATGCTATTCTCAACTATTTTCCGTATTTCGTTTCGCTTTTGTTCTTGAAATTTTTAAAAACGAAAGACACCTTTTAACTCTGCGTGCGTTATTGCAATCGACATAGCTGAATGCTGGCTTTCTTTCCATAAAATTGACAACCTTTTTAATTTCAGTCCATATTTCATCCCAATCATGCATCTCGTCGCTATCTTGTTGCAGATGCGTCTCGTTGTCATCCTTTCCTCTTATTCCCGTCATCTTTTGCGCCAATGCAAGCCATTAGGGTGAAATAAGCGTAAGCAATTATCTAAAGGAAATTTCCTGAAAAACATACATTTCAAATCTGTAATCTATCACACAAATAGTTCAAATATCCACATCAAAATCATATTCGGATATGCGGGATTCGGGATATGAGGCACTCCGGATATTCGGGATATGAGGCACTCCGGATATGAGGGATTCCGGATATGAGGCACTCCGGATATGCGGGATTCGGGATATGAGGCACTCCGGATATGAGGGATTCCTGACATGAGACAGTCCGGATATGAGGGATTCCTGACACGAGGTAGTCCGGATATGAGGGATTCTTGACATGATGCAGTCCGGATATGAGGGATTCGTGATATGAGACATTCCGGATATGAGGGATTCCGGATATAGGTACTCCGGATATGAGGGATTCTGGATATGAGGCACTCCGGATATGAGGGATTCCGGATATATTGTATTCCGGATATGGTGAATTCCGGATATATGTTATTCTAATGTATAAGCTTTGTTGTTATTTCTGTTTCCTTGGGATATCCTTGTTGCTCGCATGTTCTGTCCATGGTATTCGTACAGAGAACCGCATTTATGTCCTTTAGATATTCTTTTACATTTGTGCGGAAAATCTCCAGTATTTGACGCCATAAGGGATTTTCGGCAGAAGCCTAGAACAGGGGCCATAAAACAGCGTATATAATTTGGAAATTAAAATAT